TACTTTTCTGCTGGATGGTTAAGACCATCTATGCAACAAGAGTTGTAGCTTTTGGGTCTGATAAGATCAATGAAATCTCCTCAGGATTTATCCTGAGATCCTGTACCTCAGATTGTTTGTCCGTGTCAGCCATGTGGATGAGTTACGGCCATTGCTTGACCAATGTGCTCTCTGTGAAAGCCCGAGAGAATGTTTTCTCTCCAAGTGACTCTCCTTAGGCACACTCTACATCACCGATCACTTTCCTCTTTGGCCCCATAATCTCCTTGATCAGAAAATTTGGGACACTACTGAGTTACATGATGTAACAGTTCAAGTTCTCATATGTCCTGAGTCTTAATTGACCTTGGAAGGCTAGGGCCAAAAAGTTGGCTTTCCTTGCAGCCCTCCTTCTTCTCTAATTTGGTCTGCAAACTTAGATTGTTAACCATCCAGAAGACAAGCTTATTGTTATTACCGTACAACCTAGGCTGTTAAGCTTAACCTCACTATCTGTCTAAATATCAAACATCTTAGGCATAACATGGAAGAGGTATTTTTCATCAAGTATTGATACGTTGAACTTTAAGTCTCTACAGAATATGATTAAAAAACACTTAAAAATTAGAATATATTTTAAAAATAGGCATAAAGAATTATATACTTATGTTTACACATAAGTCCAAAAAACTAACCATATACAACCTTGAAGCAGGACAGTCCCACAATATTCCTTTTCCTGTCTGTTGCTTTCATTCACCACCCCCTTCTTTTTGAACAACCATCTACCCGAGAGACAGCATAGCAGCAACTGGCATGTCATGACAAGCAGCCCGTATTCAGAAGACCAGAATGACAGGCACTCTAACCATGAAAGTACTATTACAGGTTACCATCTGCAGTGCAAACCAAATAAATTTACCAAAAAAGTAGGCATACATATATTTCTTATCATGGAGACAATCTACAAGTTTTTATTATTCTTCAAGTATTTTTCTGCGGTTCCAGGATTATGAGGCGCTAACATCTGAACAGCTCCTCCAGTCATCCTTGATTCGTTTTGGTATTTGAGACTAGATCTTACTATGTAGTTTAGGCTGCTCTCGAACAAAAGCAATCATCCTGTCTCAGCCTGTCCACTGCTGGGATTACAGGTGCGTGACACCATTCCTGACATGATTCGCAGATCCTAAGGAGACATCTGTTTACATATAAAGTGTTTTCATAATTTTCAAGTGATTGGTTGCAACTTCGCCCAACTCAAGTTATTTGGGAATACGGGTAATAATTTATATATTTTGTATTATTTTCCTGATCCATTATTTCCATTTCAAAACTAGTCATATATTACTCCAAAATACACCTATGGCATGCCAAGTTTTAATTCCCTCAACCATAGATGTGTTAATAACATCAGCATAGCTTTGACAATGTTTTAAATCACTTGTTTCAGCTCTATTTAAAAATGCACTTTACCCTACTTATTATACAAATCGTCTCTAACTGTCCTATAGATGGCAGCATTGAGTAACATATTTTAGTAGGTTGCTTTTCCCTAGCTGTGAATTTTCAGCTAGAAGTGACTCTTGCGGTGCCATTGCAATACGCCACAAGACTAATTTAGCGTAAGATGACAGCATAATACCACATGTATCTGCTCAACGTTACTTCAGTTAGATTCTACAAAAGCGTTTCTTCTGTATATTACATAAACCAAGTGTGAATTTGCATTTCTAGAGTTATTTGAATCCATTAATGAAAAAATAGGGGAACAATTCAACTTAACTATAGTGTGAATATAGTAAATATTAAGCACCTTAATTAAGCATTGGTAGTAAAATATTAGCAGACCGAAAAAAATGATAACAACACCCTATGCCCAGTTATTATTTCCACACGAAATTCATTGGTCTGAACAGAATTCATTACAGCAATCTGGTTTTTAAGATCTCCATCAAATATTTTAGCCACATACACCTGTTTTTCTAGCAAATACCCCTTACCATGGAGAGAGATTTAAAAAAAGAAAAAAGCGTTTCTAGTAACAGTTAGGTGTCTGTTATTGTTTGTTTGTGTTACTGCGGACTGAACTTTGAGCCCTTAGAGAGCTGGGCAAGTACCCTGCCACGGAGCTCCAGCCCCAACTCCAACATTCAGCTTTAGGGAATCCAAGCCTTCGACTTCGCGGAAAGAATAAATAAAAAATATTTGCAAATTAAATGGATCTTTTCAGTTTTCCCCTCCTTCCAGGAAATGGCGTTTTATTTCTCATAGAGGTAAATTTCCTTTATTTAGCCTTTTTCCCCCTGAAGGAGGCTGGGGGTAGGGGTAAGGAGAAAATCATTTTTGAAAAGTAAAAGTCTATTTAGAATTGTTTTCCTACTAAATCTGAAACACCTGCCCGCCCTCCGGCTAGACATCAAACCTGTGACAAGCCCTTTGGCCTTATCTAAATTACGTTGTTACTGGTAAACAACTCCTTTATTATCTTTCTTTCGTCTGGCCAGGGGTAAAGCCTCTCCGGCAGTTGCAGTACTTCGGCACTAACTTCGGGCGTCTCTGCCCCACAGACTCCCCCGCGGTTCCCGGGAAGCACTTTGCAACCCCAGCGTGGCGCCCGGGTTACTGCTGCCTGGTTACCGCTTCCAAACGATGTGCTATTTATAGCCTTGCTGCGGTGGGCACGTGTGCCCACAGCACCAAGCTGTCAGCAAGGAGGCTGGAGAGGGGAGAGCTTTCCAATCAACATGTGTCCTCGAATAATAGACTAAGCAGCTTTAGGAGAGACTGCGTGAGTCCGCAGCAAGGAGACAGCAGGAACCAGAGGTTCCCAGGCTTCGGTGGGGAAAGGCGCGTCTGCAGATGCTGCGACCTCCAGTTCACGCGTGGAAAACCGCTGATGGCGCCTCTGGTTCTTTTTCTCCTTCCTTAGCTTTTTTCTTTCCTCTACGCTTTGCAACCTACCTTGGTACCCTCACCCTCTCCCCACAACCGCTGCAGTGCGACATTTGAAGGGCAGGGAACCCCACCAATCAGCTGGCTTCCCCGAGAAACTAGCACCGCCCCTCGTACCCGCCTTAGGCCCAGGCGCACTCCCAGGCGACCCAGACCTTGCTGGCCACCTAGGACGCCCAGTACCCGGCTGCCGCGTCCGTCCGCAAGCATCCTGCAGTGCCGGCGAGCCGAAGGGCGGGCCCCGCTCGGAAAGGGGCGGAAACCCCAAACAGATCCGGATCGAGTAAAAAAAAAATAAGGTCGCATTAAACAGAGTGGCAAATGTCATCTTTGTAAGTCTTTGATGTCACGCTGCGCTAGCAGGGACAAACTGCTTGTTTATAGGTCATCTTTAGCACCCCGCCCCCCGGAAAAAATCCCAACTTTGTCGGGGGCGAGACTGACCCCAAAGGTAACTGAGTAGGAGACTCCGCAGCTACACTCAGGCCCCGATCCGCTCTGCTCACGAAGTACCCATTTGCCTGTAAGGCTGAGCTGGCACCATCCGTGTTTTCTCCCGCTTATCCTTGTGGTCAAGGTTAAAAATTTATAGGGTGGCTTAGTGGGTGTGGAGGCTGTGTGTGAGAAGCTTCAGCCACTGTCTGCACAGTAGGGTTGTGGTCTTGGGAGTCCTTCTCTGCAGATCCTTAACATCTTTTTTTCTTTTTTAAAAAATCAAATAGGCTTGAGAATATATGGAGCATCTCAGCCCCGCCCCCATCCCGTTCCCTCAGCCCTGGGTTCGAATCATCGCTCCGCGACATTCAGGGGAAAAGGGAGAACTCGTGATCTGCCTGTTTGCTCTCTAACTGCTCAGCAACTAATCCCATAGTGCCAGACGGGAGACTTCTCGGGGATCCCTGTGCCTCATTTGGAGGGAACATACCCCCCATCACTGCTCTGGGAGAGGGGGTCCTCCTCTTCCTCCGAGGTACCTCATGGAAGCAAATCCGGGGACTCCAAGGTGGCAGGCTGGCCCCGAAGTCCCTTAGAAATCCTTATAAAAATTTAGATCTCCGCTCTCTGGCCTCTGTCACCCTGAAGCCGAAATCCCCGCTTTTTATTTCTCGGGAGGAGGAGAAGTCTCCCTCCCCAGGGGTGGGTCTTACCTGCTAGGTAAGATCCAACCCAGCCCGCGCACCCCCTCCTCCCGGGCTCTCCCTCTCGGGGCTCCGCAGCCGCAGTGCCCCCCCGCCGCCCCCACCCTCACTCCTGCGTCTTCCCGAGCTCACCGCCTCCCG